TATGATTCAGGATGAATAAAATACAAAAATCCAAATTATAATCTCAAAAATCAAAAACTAAATCATAGAATACTTTAAGTACGAGTTGTACTTTCTCTTAAACAAAACCTGTTTAACATGCTTGTAAATTTGTTTTTATTACTGAAGAGTAAATTAGGTGAGTAGTTTCAGTTAGTGCTGCACAGTATTAACACATACAGTGCCTTGCGAAAGTATTCGGCCCCCTTGAACTTTTCAATCTTTTGCCACATTTCAGGCTTCAAACATAAAGCTATAAAATTTTAATTTTTTGTGAAGAATCAACAACAAGTGGGACACAGTCGTGAAGTGGAATGAAATTTATTGGATGTGTCAAACTTTTTTAACAAATAAAAAACTGAAAAGTGGGGCGTGCAATATTATTGGGCCCCTTTACTTTCAGTGCAGCAAACTCACTCCAGAAGTTCAGTGAGGATCCATGAATGATCCAATGTTGTCCCAAATGACTGATGATGATAAATAGAATCCACCTGTGTGTAATCAAGTCTCCGTATAAAAGCACCTGCTCTGTGATAGTCTCAGGGTTCTGTTCAAAGCGCAGAGAGCATCATGAAGACCAAGGAACACACCAGGCAGGTTTGAGATACTGTTGTGGAGAAGTTTAAAGCTGGATGTGGATACAAAAAGATTTCCCAAGCTTTAAACATCCCAAGGAGCACTGTGCAAGCAATCATATTGAAATGGACGGAGTATCAGACCACTGCAGATCTACCAAGACCCGGCCGTCCCTCTAAACTTTCATCTGGAACAAGGAGAAGACTGATCAGAGATGCAGCCAAGAGGCCCATGATCACTCTGGATGAACTGCAGAGATCTACAGCTGAGGTGGGAGGGTCTGTCCATAGGACAACAATCAGTCGTACACTGCACAAATCTGGCCTTTATGGAAGAGTGGCAAGAAAAAAGACATTTCTCAAAGATATACATAAAAAGTGTTGTTTAAAGTTTGTTACAAGCACCTGGGAGACACCAAACATGTGGAAGAAGGTGCTCTGGTCAGATGAAACCAAAATCGAACTGTTTGGCCACAATGCAAAACAATATGTTTGGCGTAAAAGCAATACAGCTCATCACCCTGAACACACCATCCCCACTGTCAAACATGGTGGTGGCAGCATCATGGTTTGGGCCTGCTTTTCGTCAGCAGGGACAGGGAAGATGGTCAGAATTGATGGAAGATGGATGGGACCAAATACAGGACCATTCTGGAAGAAAACCTGTTTGAGTCTGCAAGAGACCTGAGACTGGGACGGAGATTTATCTTCCAACAAGACAATGATCCAAAACAAAAAGCCAAATCTACAATGGAATGGTTCACAAATAAACGTATCCAGGGGTTGGAATGGTCAAGTCAAAGACCAGACCTGAATCCAATCGAGAATCTGTGGAAAGAGCTGAAGACTGCTGTTCACAAACGCTCTCCATCCAACCTCACTGAGCTCGAGCTGTTTTTCAAGGAAGAATGGGCAAGAATTTCAGTGTCTCCATGTTCAAAACTGATAGAGACAAACCCCAAGAGACTTGCAGCTGGAACTGCAGCAACAGGCGGCGCTACAAAGTATTAATGCAAGGGGGCCCAATAATATTGCACGCCCCACTTTTCAGTTTTTTATTTGTTAAAAAAGTTTGACACATCCAATAAATTTCATTCCACTTCACGATTGTGTCCCACTTGTTGATTCTTCACAAAAAATAAAATTTTATATCTTTATGCTTGAAGCCTGAAATGTGGTAAAAGGTTGAAAAGTTCAAGGGGGCTGAATACTTTCGCATGGCACTGTAATGTGCCACATTGAGCCTTTAAAGAGGAAAGACATTCTATCTTATATTACCTGTTATATAGTATTAAATTAATATACCGGTAGGTGCTTCAAGGCATGAAGAGCACCCTTACTACTTGTCTTTTATTATTCTGTTTTCATTATATTTTTTAACTCCTGACACTTTTGAAAAACATTTTAAAGAGTGCATAAAAATTGTGCAGCTTTTTTGAGAATAGTATGCTCTGACTTTTGGAAACAGTAAATTAAAATGCTTAGACAACATCTAAAATGTTTGAGCTCTTGATGAATCAAACTCTTTGGATCCCTTTATGTCTCTGAATGTTTCTGAATGTTTTTCCAGGTCTCTCTTGTAAATGATTCTCCGAGGCTCAATGGTATTAGCCTGTATAAAAAAAGGTTGAATGAATGTTTCTGTCTAATCTGTGAAATCATACTTCACTGTAAAAACATTCAACTTTAAACAAGTCACTAAACATTTAACTGAACTGGTATTTTAATGTTTTTAAACAATTCCAGATTAAATGGGAGTTGGACTCTGCCAGGGCTGCCCGTTGTCACCGATTCTGTTCATAACTTTTATGGACAGAATTTCTCAGTGCAGCCAGGGAGTGGAGGGATTCCGGTTTGGTGGCCTCCAAGATTCCATCTCTGCTCTTTGCAGATGATGCGGCCCTGTTGGCGTCATTGTGCTGTGATCTTCAGCTCTCACTAGTGCGGTTTGCAGCTGGGATGAGAGTCAGCACCTCCAAATCTGAGGCCATGGTCCTTAGTCAGAAAAGGGAAGATTGCGCTCTTCAGGGTGAGGTTCTGCCTCAAGTGGAGGAGTTCAAGTATCTCAGGATTTTGTTCATGAGTGAGGGAAGAATGGATCGTGAGATTGACAGATGGATTGGTGCACTGCCTGCAGTATTGTGGACTCTGTACCAGTCCATTGTGGTGAAGAGAGAGCTGAGCTGTAAGGCAAAACTCTGTTTACCGGTCTGTCCACGTTCCTACCCTCATCTATGGTCACAACCTCTGGGTAGTGACCAAAAGAATGAGGTCGTGGATACAGGTGGTTTAAATGAGTTTCCTCTGCAGGGTAGCTGGACTCTACATTAGAGATAGTATGAGAAGGAGAGACTCGGAATAGAACTGCTGCTCCTCCACATCGAGAGCCAGTTGAGGTGTTTGGGCATCTGGTAAGAATGCTTCCTGGATGCCTCCCTGAGGAGGTGCTTCAGGTATGTCCGACTGGGAGGAGACCCCGGGGAAGACCCAGGACACGCTGAGAGACTATGTCTCTCAGTTAGCCTGGGAACGCCAAGGAGTCCTTCCAGAGGAGCTGGAAGAGGTGGCTGTGGAAAGAGATGTCTGAACCACCCTGCTAAAGCTGCTGCCCCCACAACCTGACTTAAGAACAAGCGGAAGATAATGGATGGACGTACGGATGGATGGATGGATGGATGGATGGATGGATGGATGGATGGATGGATTTTGAAGATTTTATCCCAAATGTTCAATTTAGATTATAATGATGTCACACTAAGTTTTTGAGACTTTTAAGAAGAACTCTTCTAACTTTCACAAACTTTATTATTCATATGGGGCAGCTGTAGAGCAGTCATCCTCCAATGCAAGAGTTGGGGGTTCGATTCCACCAGCATTCACATGCTGAAGTGTGCCTGGACAAGACACTGAACCCCTCATTGCCTCCCATGTGTGTCCCGTCGGTGTATGAACGGGATCTAAAGCATTGATAAGTCTTTGTATAGATCTAGTAGAGTGCTGTATGAATAGGTAAATGAGGGTACAGATTGTAGTGTAAAGTGCTTTGAGTATCCTGATAATATAGAAAAATGTTGTATAAGTACAGTCCATTTACTGTTTATAGCATGTCAAAAGGTCAACGTCTTTTCCTTCTTTCATCCAGTGTGGTTTGTTTTTGTTAATGGACCTGTGGTTTTCTAATAAATCCAGCCAGAATGCAGAGTGGACGCAGCCTAACTCATTGGCCTCCATTATACGAGCTCAGAATTTTCTCATCAAATGGAAGTCAAGTTTTAACTTGTTATATCTCCTACATAAACAATGCGGACACGTAAAAATGAAAATGTGACAATTAGAAGATTTTGTTTTTCAGTTAAGATTTTTTACACAATGACTCTTTGACATTTACGTTCTACTCTGTCTTAATGTCAAAGAGTGAGACACAAGTGTGTGATTACCATGGTAACCATAAAGAGCCACTGGCAGCAGCTTTGCCATTTTGTTTGATCTTGGCGCCCTTTGTTCTTCTTCTGCAAGTTGCACATCAAAATGTGATGTTTTGTTAGTTTAGATTGTGACAAAAGTAAGTTTCAAAGTACTGTTTGATATTACAAAAAAAAAAAAAAAAAGCAGACATGTGTGCCTTTTTTTTTTTTGGTTATAGTTGTTATAGTTTCCAAATATCTTCAGAATTTTTTAAATAGTAAGTAAACTTTATTTGGTTATAAAGAAAATTTTAAAATGGACTGAGTTACGTAATATTAAAGCATGGTGTTTTATTCATGCTACAGACTTGGTCCAAATCTCTTTGAAAATTGGTCTAAATTATCTGCACCAAAAAACACTAAATGAACTGTAGCAGATAATTAGTTTCAGTTAATTCACTTCATCAAACTTTCTGTATATGGCTGTTTTAATTTTATTGGTCTGACAGGCTCTGACATCACAGATTGTAGGCGTGGTCATGAACCATGCCAACATGAAATTGGGAGTTTGATGTTTGAACAGAGAGCAGAGCAGCAGCTCCTCCTTGTACTTAGGAGCTTCATTCACTGAACCTCTACACCATTTTCTTACCTGCTTCATTAAATGTTCCTCCTGATGAGACGTTTAGCCCCCTGTGATTCTCCAGCCTTTGTACGTTCTTTGGTTTTCCAGACAGTGTTCCTCTGAGTTTCAAATAAATTACACTTTCACCACTATGACTGAACCAGGAAGCTGCTAAAAAGCTGGCATCAAATGAAAACTAGTTTTTTAAATATGTTTCCATAGTCACTTGTAAACATGAAGTCTGGGGACCCTTTGAGGGCCACTGAGTCAGCTGCACACAGAAGAAACGGAACCCTCGCTGTTACTGCACCCCGGCCGCCTGTTGTCATGGTGATCTGCCACAGCAAGATACAGCGAGGACTTTGTCAAAATGTGACCTCAAGCATTTTCAGGCACTTTGTCGTCGTCGTCCTCCTCCCCTGCAATGGTTACCACAGCAACAGGTGAGCTTATTCAGAGGCATACAAACTTTTATGTGGTGTTGCACTCATACCATTGCAGGTCATGTGATCTGGAGGTCTGTGGTTAGGTGATGTGTCGTTATTCTGTTCAGCCAAAAAGGAACCCTCTGAGTTCTGTGGCTGATCTGTGCTTGGTGAGTCTTCACACTTCAACTCTGAGTTTTCTTTCTCCTCCTGTTCTTTCTTGGCCATTTCTGTTAAGAACAAAGAGTTTTATTCAAGTTGCAGCAAAAGGCTTATTTCATGACAGACATGTTGACTTGAACATGCAGGGAAGGAGCAAGTGTTGCATTTGCATGTGTTGCAACAAGGGCTGCATTTCATTTAGAGGAAATTCTGTGTGTTGTATTTTTACAGCAAAATGTGGCCCTTATTATGACACATGCATTCCTCTTCTTTCAAATCAAAATGTTTGCTGGGGAAAAGGCCAAAAAGCTAATTAGAAACTACCCAATTACCGTAATTTCCAGTCTATAAGGTGCTACTTTTTCACACACTTTGAGCACTGCAGGTAATACAATGCATCAGCTAATTTAGGAATTTTTTTCTTTAATGGGCTAGCAAGCTTCCTGCTACCAAAAACTTTTAACTTTGTCAATCCTGGGCATCCACACAGCTGCCCAATGCATACCCCTCTTACAAACTGAGTCTCTATGATACACACTGAGTGAGAACCACCTCCCTCACTCGTGGTTACTCTACTGAATGGCCTAACACAAACTAACACATAATGAAACACAAACTACATAGGCTTAAAAAAAAGTAATCACTAAAAAAAATACAATAAAAAACCCAATTCTAAACAGCTAACCAAAATAATTAACAATGAACATATTTTACCCATAGTCCCTCTCTGTGACCATGTGACCAGCAGTCAACCACAATGAATCAATGAGGCAGTCTCATTGAGTCACAAGGACCCACCCCCCAAGAGATGTGCATTGATGAACTACTGTATAAATAAAGGTAAAAAAAATCTGACCAATGAAATTACCCAACAGGTCACAGACAACCAATGAAATGGGGAGGGGAGGACAGAACGGGCGGGGGATCCCCGTACTTGCGCAGAGCTCGTGAGTGTCACATGCTCACAAAGCAATTTTGCTCGCACAAGTAGGAGAAGCGAAGCGTCGTCAGCTACAGAATAGAAGTCCAGTTGTGTTTACCTTTAATCTTTTTGGGATTTACCATGTCCTAGATGACAGAATCTTCACCAGCATCTCGCAGCAGGAGGAATATAGTGATCAATGACTTCCTGGTAGGCTACTGTATTATTTTTTTTTAAATAGCCATGTTACCGGCACTGTTCAGAAAAAATAAATAAATTACTGTATGTATTTGTGTATGTTACCAGTACATATTGTAGCATTTTGGTGTGGTTGACTGTTGGTCACATGACCTCAAGGAGGAATTATGGGTAAAATTTTTGTTCATTGTTTATCATTTAGGTTAACTGTTTAGCATTGTTCATTTTAGTGATTAGTCTGTTCTTCTTAGCCTACATGGTTTATGTGTTCATTATGTGTTAGTTTGTGTTAGCCATTCAGTAGAGTAACCATGAGTGAGGGAGTTATGAAGACATGGGGTTCACTCTCTGTGTGTGGAAACAAAAATGAAGTCTATAAGACGCCATCTGGTGTTTGATTCTTGATCTACAAGAAGAGCTGCACATCTCTCAATACCTGTGTGCTGCCACTCATGAAACAACGTGAACACCTGTGGCTTGTAAACAAGCATGTGATGCGTATAATTTTAAAAAAATTAGTGCGTGCGGCGTATATTCAGGTGTGCTCTATAGACCGGCAATTACAGTATTTAAATTTCTATGAAATAACTACACAGAACAATGGTTCAAAGCCTAAAAGTCAAAGTAAAAAAA